AAAGAGACTCCACCCATGCAGGAGTCCACCCCATTACGCGAGGGAGACGGTGAGAGCCAAGAAGAAGGTGAGAAGGAGAAAGTGGAGGAGGAGGAGGAGAAAGAAGAGGAGAGTGAGAAAGTAGAAGGAACTGTTGAAGACAAAAAAGAGGAAACCAACGAAGAAGAATTAAAAGAAGAGTCAAGTACTGTCGATCAAGAACCAGCTAAACCGGAAGAGGTTTCATCCACTTCAACGGAACCAGTCACGGTCTCGCCGTTAACCGATCCTCCAGAGACCCCAACGGAGCCACAGACCCCATCAATGGATGAGAACTCTGCCCAGCCCCTCCCATCTGAGCCTGTGATATTTGTGAGCGGTGAAGGTAATGGTGTGGGTGAAGGTGATAGAGGTGTGGGTGATGGTTGTGAGCGAAGTGAGAGCACAGCAGGAGAGGAGGAGGAGGACAGGAAGTACGAGGGACAGTCAGCATCTCCTGTGGATGTACATGTAAAACCAAAACCAAAAAGGTGCGTGATTTGGAGTATCTGGTTTAGTTTTAATTTGTTTTAATTACAGGGACAATGCTTCTCCTACCCCATCTGATTCATCAGAGAATAGTGAAGCATCCAGTAAACAGTTAGCACCCGAATGTAGACTGGGAGAGAAAGTAAGAGGAACTGGAGTTATATAGAAATAATGATATAATGTACATGTATGTGTATAAAAACTGTAATAAAATTAAGAGTTCTCTCTGAGCCATTTTTGATTAAATACCCTGTACTAGTGCAGGGTCTTTAGCCAGATTTTGGAGCAACTTTGAAAATTCGTTAAAAATCTACACTTGATCGGAATCTACTCAAACTTGATATACAACATAAGAACATGTATATGTATCAGGATAATTTATAAAAATGGAGAATTTTTCCTATTCATTTTTGATGAAGTCCCATGGTATTATTATTATTATTATTATTATTATTAGGTGATGGTTGAAGTTGCCAACGGTTTCAAAATGGGAACCGTCAAATTCATTGGTGACACTGAATTTGCTCCCGGCGAGTGGATAGGTGTGGCCTTAGACCGTCCACAAGGTAAGAAAGATTTCTAAAAACTATAATTTCATCATTAATCCCTCCAATAGGTAAAAACAATGGCAGCGTTAAAGGTGTGACATATTTCAAGTGTAAGGATAAACACGGTGTGTTTGTACGAAGAGACAAGATAATCCATGAGCCCTCGTCCTCCCTCTCTGCCTCCCCCTCCCCTTCCACTCGTTCACCAAAGAACCTAGCAAGCGCTGCTTCCCCCACAAACCCAAAAAGACGAGCGTCTCCCAATTTAACGAAGTCGTCGATTCGCAGAAGCGCGAGCAATCGAAAATGATTGACATTTCTCATCTTTGTCCATCGTCTGTTTGTATCATAATTTATTATTATGATTATTATTATTGTTCTGTTTTGCTGTTCTGTTGCTGTCTTATATTGTTTCTCATTGGCTCTCTTGTATCATGTGATAGTCGTATGACTTGCTCCCCTGGTCATGTGACTGCATGTGATGTAAGTGGCTGTTTTTTGATTGCAATAACAATGTTTAATAAATTTTTCTTTCTCTCGACATACGCTTTGAAAACTCCTTACTTCCTTCTTTCTTATTTATTATTATTATTATTATTATTATTATTATTATTCAGATTTCAATTGAGAAAACAAGTGATAATTGCTCCTGTTATCATTGTGTTTTTTTACTAATAGACAATGTAGTATATTATTAATATTGTGAAAATTCTTTAACTCATTATTATTATTATTATTATTATTATTAATTGCACTTTGCACTTGAATTTATTGATCACAATTCATGCAATTGACTTGCCAGTAGGTCTACATAAAACCAACCTTCAAGCAAATAAAGAATATAGTATTGCTAATATTTCCTTTGATGATTATTTTCGTTTATTTAGCAGTTGATGATGTCATAAGTTCTTTGAAAGTGGTTTGATAGCAATGATGAGAGAAGCAGTGCTAGTCTTTGTTTTATGTGTTCTGTCACTATCAGTTGCTCAGGATTGTCCTCTACCAACAATAGCTCAGTTAGAGTCTGTATTGCCTCCTTTACTAGTCATTTCTAGTGGTAGCCAGTCATACTCTCCTAATGTAACTGAAGGATCAGTTCAGTATGTCTGTCTAGCTCAAGGGAGCATGATTGATTCTTATCAAGCCATAACTCTTATAGCTACATTCACTCCTAACCCAGGAGAACCTGAACAAACCAGCATATTTGATATTGAGTGTATCAGTGGTACATGGAGTGGAAGGACTGGTAGTTTAGATCCTCCTCCTGCCAGTGTTGTTGGTGTTCCTCCAAGAACCAATTGTTATCGGTGTCGGGAAGGTTTTGGTGGTGATACTAGATGTAGAGGTAAGCCAATTTTAATAGAAATAATTGTTAATCTCATTTAGAATGTGACAGTGCTTGTAATTCTGGACTGATGAGGTGTACTGGTTCAGGTTCTACTGATTGTTGTTTATCATTTACTGCTAGTGGTCAGTGTGATGGTAGCACTGACTGTACATCATCAGGTCCTAACTATGTTGCTACTGAGAGTAATAACTTCACTTGCAGTAAGCATTACAATTGTATTACTATTTTTTATTATATTTTATTATTAGCTTGCAATCTAACCTGTTCTGCTGGTTATACTGTTAATTCTAATTGTACTGGCTGTGATTCCACTAGTATCTGTGATAGAGACAGTCCATGTATGAATGGAGGACAGTGTATACAGTATTCACCTCCTGATAATTATACTTGTGATTGTACTGGCACTGGATACCAGGGAGTCAACTGTACTGGTGAGTGATATTATCAATTGTTACCTTTTAAGGTCAATGGGATTAAGTTGCTCTGTTATTTTAAGTTATGTGATCCATTGGCTTTACAAATTGACACATTTCTTATCTCACTATGTTTCTTTTTCTCTTCCTCTCTTATAGTAATAAGCAACTATTTTATTACTATTACTATTATTCTTTTATAGTTTACTCTTTTTTTATTACAGTGATGCTCCCCCCTACTCCTTCACCTACCCCTTCACCTACCCCTTCACCTACCCCTTCACCTACCCCTTCACCTACCCCTTCACCTACCCCTTCACCTACCCCTTCACCTATCCCTTCACCTTGTACTGTTTCAAACTGTGATAATTGTCAAAACTCATCTTGTTGTAAAAATTGTTCATCTGGTTCGTATTTGAATCCTGATGGATGTACCTGTGGTAAAAAGACTATGTTTATTACTCATATGGTTAATGTTGATAGGTTCATGTGGAGTGTCTTGTTCAAGGTGTCTTGATTCCAGTTGTTGTACTGAGTGTCAATTAGGATATGAAATAGATGGCTGTGAATGTGAGGCAGCAGGTAAGCAGAAAATCAGTTATTATTGTGTATAAACATGTCCCTTTTCTTCCTTATTCTACAGATTCTTCATCAGTTGGATCAGTTTCTTCTTCACTCGAATCGGCTTCTTTTTCACTTGAATCATCAGTTACAAATCTACCCTCAACTGAAACTCCTCAGTTATCATCTTCAACGCTAACAATTGTAGCTCCTGTTGTATTGGTGCTAGTACTCTGTGTTTGTATTATCATAGTATTTGTGATTGTGATAATTGTTAGGAGGAACAGGAAGAAGAAACTTGTAAATTTGGACTTGCGTTATGTTGGTCAGTGAAGTTGATAATTTAGTTTAATATTTTTATGTAGACAATTTGTCCCCTTTAGACGACTTCAGAATTTCTCTTGATTTGAATTCAGCTTGTCAAAGTAAAGCTCTTATTGTG